CTTCATTTTTGTAAACTCACCCATGAGTTGTGCCAGCAGTGTTGCTGCACAGAGTTCCAGCTTGGGCACGGTGATAGTCTTCAGTGGAGCGACACGGGCCTTCGAACACAACAGGTGCACTTGTACCTTACTATCCTTGGCTGAACGCGTATAAACGCAAGCCCCATAAGCTTCAAGGCTTGCATCGCAAAATGCATGAATTTCTGTAATGGCCCCAGGTTGCAAGACGTAACGAGGAAATGATAGGTGCTGTATGTCTGCAAACCCGCTGCAAAAGGCAGACCAGGCGGTGTTTAACGATTGCGGTAGACTCTCATCCCACTCAAGCTTGTCTCTCCACATGCGTTGCAGAAGAATCTTCGCCTTGGTCAGCGTAGGGCCCATTAGTCCAAGGGGATCGTAACAGCGAGCTAGAGTAGACAACGCAGAGCGTTTTGAGTTTTTACCGAGTTCTCGTTGTGGCACAAACGAAAATAGCAGCTTGTCCTTGACCGGATCCCAAACTAGTCCCAGAGCTTTGGTGATGTCACTGCCATCGTCAAACTTAAGGAAACGTTCCTTGTCTACGTCAGGTATATCACGAAGGATATCTGGACTATTAGAGCACCACTTGCGTAACTAAAAGTTTCCTCGAGCAAGGAGGCTAGTTGTTTGTAGCTTGATATTCAGTACTTCTTCCATCGAATCGCCTCCAGATATCAAGTCATCTACGTAGAAGTCTCGACGCACTATTTCTGCACCAATGGGGTAAGTCGAGGATTCGTCAGCTGCGAGTTGGTGCATGGCACGTATGGCCAGAAATGACGCAGGCTTAGTTCCATAAGTCAGCGTGTCTAACTTATAGATGGCAAAGTTTTCCTGAGGAGATTCACGCCACAATATGCATTGGAGCATGCTATCTGGTGGGGTGACGCGAACACACCTATACATCTTACAGATGTCCCCAGTAAGTGCTATGGGAAAAGTACGAAATCTAATAAGGATATTAAAAAGTTTCGGCTGAATAGTTGGGCCTGCCATGAGTAGGTCGTTCAGCGAAAAGCCCGAAGTAGTGGATGCAGAGCCATCAAAAACCACTCTCAGCTTTGTTGTGCTACTGTCATCCTTGATGACGCAATGATGCGGCAGAAAATACTTGCATTGTTGAAAAACCTCATTGGTAACTAGCGACATGTGATTAAGGTCCAGATATTCCTTTATGAACTTACTATATTCTGTTTTAAGCTCAGGGTTACGAGCGAATTTTCGTTCAAGACTTTCGAAGCGTTGACGAGCTTGCAAATAGGAGTCTCCAAGGGCCTCCACACCACGCTTCATGGGAAGACGAACTGAGTATTCGCCTGATGACAATCGCAAATAATTTTCCCGGAAGTGGGCTTCGCAGTCGATATCTTCTTGGGAGGCCTTAGAGATCGGCTCGAAGTTGTGCTCTATTTCCCAGAACTGACGCACTAAATCTTCCAACCGAGTGGAAATAATATCACTGGAGGACTTCCGTCGCACCACAAAAGATGATAGTTTTGGAGCTTGTTGCCCCCCTCCAGATAGCACCCAACCGAGGCGTGTTTTCTGAAGGAGTGGTAAACCGTATGCCAAGCGTATCTGCCCCACACATAGCAGATCGAAGAACAATGCTGCTCCAATGAGCAGATCAATTCGCTGCGGTAAGTTGAACCCAGGATCAGCTAGTTGTATATTCGACGGAACATTCCACTCGTTGGTGCTCACGGAGCAGCCAGGCTGGTTGTCGGTTATGGTTTGCACAACAACAGCTGTTATGTTTGTTGAGAAATCTGAAGTCCGCGACTTCAGTACGAGGTCGACTGAGTAACCCTCCGTTGAGAAATTGGCATCTCCAATGCCAGATACTGTAGCAGAAGATTTTGCTTTTACAAGCTGCAATTGGTTTGCAAGGCGAGTTGTGACAAAGTGTAACTGGGAGCCAGAATCTAAAAGCGCCCTGCAAGGCACGAAGCTTCCAGCACGATTTTTTACCAGAACGACGGCAGTAGCTAGGAACACAGCATCAGAAGGAGATACTGGGGCACTAGGCGACACAGATAACGATGCAGTCATAGCGTTGGATTGAACTGTAGCTGCCGACGAAGCTTCGGCTTGACTATTGATTAACGATGCAGTTGAGCGTTCGAAATGCAAGAGCGTGTGGTGTTTCGACTGACAGGCGCGGCACGATCCGGATTTGCAGTCACGAATTTGATGCCCAGTCTTTAGGCAGTTAAGACAAAGGGAAAGCTTCTTAACTTCCCTCAGGCGTAAGTTCGGAGACAAATTTGCGAAGCGTTGACAGCTATAAATTGCATGCTCGGCAGATCCACAAAACACACAAACACCTTTTGAGCCGTTGGAAGCAACAAAGGATTTCCTCTGACCAGTACTCACGTTCTTGTTAGCTTTTACCGCCTGACCAGTCGGTGTCTGCATAGAATGCTCAACGTTCTCGAGTGTTCTGCAGCGCTTCTCCAAGAACATAGCTAATTGATCCCAGGATGGCAGTTCGCTGATCGATGAACTCTCCTCCCATTTAGCTTGCGTCTTTTTGTCGAGTTTCTGGATCACCAATTGTACGATGATGCCATCTGCGATCTTCCCATTGGATGCGAGCGACTGCAATGCGCGTATGTGTGCTGTGACCTTATCTGTCAGCTCTCGTAGCTTGGTTACGTTTGAATCTGCCCTCTCTAGCCCAAATATCTCCCTGACGTGTGCCTGAAATATAAGACGTTTGTTATCGAAGCGCTTTTGTAAAAGATCTAATGCAGTGTTATAATTAGCGTCGTTTATTTCCAGCGAGCGCACGGTGTCAAGGGCAGCGCCGCTCAGACAGGAACGAAGATGCTGCAATTTGTCGATGTTGGTGAGGTCGCTGTCCTTGTCGATTATTGACGTGAACATTGAATAGAAATTTGTCCACTCGGTGTAGGCGCCACTGAATTTAGGCAGTGTCAGCAATGGCAAGCGTGAGCTATTAGCGTTCACAATGATTGATTGGGTCTCACTGGAGTTCATTCTGAGCGTGGAGCAATGTTGCGAGGCACTACGTTTACCAATCTCGCGTTGCAGTGTAGCTCTAAGGTTGATTAGAGCAGCATCGAAGTTACTTGGCAGGTCGCTGGCAATGGAGTCGAAGTCCAATTCCTCTAGGCTTGTGTGTGCGGCAGAAAAACTGGATTTCAATTCGCCTAAGGATTCTAGCATTGCTGAAAGACTGTACTCATCCATACTGTGTAGCTTGTCTGCGTCCAACTCGTTAATCAAGCTCTCCAGTCTGCTGAATATGGCCTTTGTTTTCAGCTTTAGAAAGGCTACTCGATCTGCACCTTCCCCTGGCATGACGAAGTTGCTGACGTTTACACTAGTGTGGCAGAATTATCTCAGTAAGCGGCCGGAAACAAACGAAAAATGGCGTGATACGATCACGTCGGGGTCACCAAATGTTGAGCTACTAAGCCTTTTTAGCAGCTATTAAAATAAAACAAACGATGTATGCATAAGTTAAGCAACTGTATTTAACAAGATTTGGTCCGCGACTAACTAACAGAAAGTTCACCTTGAACTATTTAAGTATGTCCTAATTACATTGGATAACTGCAAATTCATCACCAACAATAGAAAACCAGTTTTCTTAAATGCATGAGAATTTACATATATATATTTATGCACGTATGCACCCGCGCACACAATATTGCTTACATACATATGTACTATTTTTCGCTTGCTTGCATACGAATGTATCCAACTGAGCGCGGGCGGTACGTATGCACATACATATATGTATGTATATACGTATGCTTTATACATAGTATAAAGGGGAAACAAAATTAGCACAGTTTAAATACATACAAGTAAATATGCAGCTCAATTGAGTATGAAAATTTCAGTGTGATCAGATAACGTTATTCATATTGATTTTGATAAACATATTTTATGTTGCTGGCTTATCCGCTGCTGCTCCGAACAAACACCTTTCAGAAAAATATAACGAAAACGTTGCAGATTTTTACACTTTATAAAGTATTTTTAGTTCATTGTGTGGTTTATATAAGCATGTATGTGCATACATATATGTAAGTGTTATAAGTGCCATAGCAACGAAAAATATGCACCTTATTTTGGTTTTAAAGGTTTTTTCAGCACTTAAATTTATAAAATTCATTGTTTTAGATGAAATAGCGGAAAATATAAAACCAACTTTACGTCAATTAATACTAAACTTAAAAAAATGGCTCTTCATTTTAACTACTATTAGTATTATTTAGCTCTTTTTTCGACCGTTTTAGCTCTAAACGAAATTTTTTCCTGGCAACACTGGTTCTAATGCAATACTTCTGGTAATATGTTCTTTCAAAAATGGGATTGCGGTCATTTGACCGCTTTTGGTTTTTGTAGTTTTAAATCGTTTGGGAATATCATAATTTAACTTCTAAGGGTATTTAAAGTAAGTCCTTTTTCAAAAAATTAAAAATTAAATAAATGTAAATGCCAGAAGTGAAACTTGAAAAGTTTTTCCTTCATCCGTTCTTTAAAATTAAAAACACAATTCTCCGCAATTTAATACACTTTTCACCTTTCTGGAAGTAATTAACCATGGCTTCGTATTTTTTTCTTTTTTGAGTGGGTCTTATGACTATTTTACCAGTTTAAAACATTTATTTTTATTAGTTTTTTTTTATAAAAATATATTTCATACTAAATACAACGAAAACTATATAACTCAAAGTTTCAAACCTTGTAGATGTATAAAAAATTTGCTTAGTCAGCTAAGAAAATCTGGAGAATTTTTATAAAACTTGTACGAGGTTTGAAACTTTAAATTATGTGGTTTTCGTTGAAAATGTTTGTAAAAGTATTAACTAAATATAAATAAAGAAAAAATAAATGGTCAAAACTTGTAAAGAACCAAATAAATATATATGTTTGTATGTTTACATATATTCTATAGCTTGTGCTAACAGTTCATTCATAGAATCCAAGCTACTTACCGACTAGCATGGCGTGAACGCGGTCGTGCAAAACGCAGACTTAATTGACAAGGATCAGTAACGTACTTATTCGACTCCCGCCTTCTTCGTAAAGCTGCAAAAAATATTAACCGCGTTTATGATTATCCATCGTAAAGTTAAGATTAAGTAAACAGTCAACACATATAAATACATATTTACATATATTATTTTTATAAGATACATATTTGTACGAGAAAATGACACATCAAGTGTCATTCATATCCGCATAAACATATAGATGTATTTTTCCGAAATATGCACATGTTTTGGAAGATCACGACCTTATGCGACCTATCACGACTGATATCCATAGTTGGAACGAACCTCTACCAATAGATACTGAACATTTCTTTTTAACTCTCTTTCGGTTGATTTTTTTTACTTTTCTTTTTTGGCAGTAATTCACTTTTCGTAATGGTTTGCCAATTACACTGGTCGACGGCCAAAATTTACCAGAGACGCCGTTATGAAATTCGTATGTAAAATCACCCCCTGATTCCGAAAATCAAGGTTATTTTTAATTTTATGGTACCGTTTTTGAGATATTTGCAATTTACCGTTTTTGCAAAAAAAAAAAAAATTGGGTCCACTTAATCATATATATCTCAAGAACGAATTAAGCAATTCCAAAACGGTTTGAAGCTTTTAAAAGGTAATAAAATTTTCTATAAGCTGTGCATACAACACTTTTTGCTAGGCCCTGTAGATTCAAAGATAACGAACAATCATTACCGATTTTTTCAATTTTTTTTGTAAAAATATAAAAAAAAATTGTACTTTGCGGGGAAGGATCTCGAAAACCTTTTATTTTTTTGCAGATTTTTTTTTTCTCCCTAAGCTCTGTTATATTACAAAAAAATAAAGGTATCATCGAAGAAAATCGATGCAAAACTACGTAAGTTATAAGCGATCAAATAAAAATACCCAGGTTGCGCAATTTCAACGTATACCTCAAAACGTATGTATGGTATAAAGAAGAGTGAAATATCTAGCTATGCTCTGTTTCTATTGAGTTAAAAGTTCAATTTATGAATGAAATTACCCATATTTTTAACTTTTTTTTTAAATTTATTTATGTTTATACTATATTCTAACAATCTTTATCTTAATTTGATTTTACTATGTTGTCGAAATAATTATGTGTTCTACTTTGACGCTTATTCAGTTTAGGATCGGTTTCTCTTATGAGAAACCAGCAGTAATCACCCATCATTGCGACGTCCCAGAATCCTTGATATCGATTCTCAATTAATTTCATTTGCTGATGAAACCTTTCGCCATGTTCATCACTTTCGTCGCCAAGATTTGCCGGAAAAAAGCTCAAATGTGAGTGGAGAAAGTGAATTTTTAAAGACATATTTACGCCCATTTTCGCATAATTATTGATTAGGTCGTTCACTATCTGCTCGTAGTTAGGGCTTTTGTGTCTACCGAGAAAAGAAGCAACGACCTTTTCAAAGGATTCCCACGCTGCTGCCTCAACTGATGAGAGTAGTCCTTTGAATTGATTATTGTTGATCAACTTTCTTATTTGTGGTCCAACAAAAATACCTTCCTTTATCTTGGCTTGAGAAATATCTGGAAAAACTGTTTTCAAATAGTCGAATGCTTCGCCTTCTTTGTCCAAAGCCTTAACAAAGTTTTTAATGAGACCGAGCTTGATGTGTAAGGGTGGAAGTATGATTTTCTCTTTCTTGACAAGAGGGGTGTATTTGATGTTATCCACACCAACGGTAAACTCGACTCTTTCCGGCCAATCCTTTCTGACGTAGTGGTCCTTACGAGCTCGGCTATCCCACTTGCAGAGGAAGCAGCAGTGCTTGGTGTAGCCACTTTGTAGACCGCATAGCATTGCAACGACTTTGAGATCAGAACATATTTTCCAATCATGCTCTTCATATTTGATAAATTTGAGTATTTTTTGCATTTCCTCGTAGGTTTCCTTTGTATTTACTGCATGTGCAATCGGGATAGAAGGCTTTTTGTTACCAATATGCAATAATACAGCCTTCAAACTCAGTTTATTGCCGTCTATGAACAATCGCCACTCTTTTGAATCATATGTTTGACCAAACTCTTTGAATAAACCAGGGATGTCGTTGCAGTAGCATATACTGTCTTTCTTGGTATAGTGTTTGGAAAATGGTTCGTGACGAGTTCTACTATATGTCACCTTAACATCGGATGACACAAATTTAAATTGTTGCATACGAGAAGTGTGGATCTCGGCCTTTTCCTTGGATAGTTCCAAATCTCTTATCCAATCATTAAGTTGTGCTTGTGACAGAACGTTTCTTTCGTTTTCCATGCGAAATTCAGTACAACTTGATCCCCCGCACTCAGATGTTACTGTTGACAATGGAACTGGATCCGCAACTGCCGTTGAATGTAGTACTGGTAATGTCACTGTAGGTACGCTAGCATAGGTTACTCCTCTTGATCTTCCAACGCCAAGTACTTTTGTTTGACAAATATAACACTCTATTGAATGGCAAGTAGGTTCTCTCCATATCATTGGTGTATCAAATTTTGTTTGTTGTCCTGATTCCCACTGAATCAATTCTACTCGACACGATGTACACAAAGTGTTCGGTGTCCATGGTTTTTCAGCATTTTTAGGCTCAATTCCAAAATACTTGGAGTATAAAGTTTTGATATGATCTGAGAACACTCGTCGTCGCCTTATGATAGTATATTGGCCACACATGAAACAGAACATATCTGGATCCTTATTACACTCAAATTCTCGCGTCCTTTTACTCATTTTATTTTTTTTAATAAATCACGGTTTTGAAATTAGACTTATGAACTGAACTATCTCCGGCGAGCCTTGAAGATGTTATGAAGTTTCAAAGCGCATTAACTCATATTTATACTCGGAACAAGAATAAAATTGAAAAAATCAAATCTTACCTAGACAGAAAGGTTCCTTTTTATAACAAGCCGGGAAAAGAAAATACTACCTGTTTTAGATGTAGGCTTTAGAAATTTTCTGTGTCTTATAATTTTGAAAATCTACCTGCATACTTACCCATAACTGACGGAAATACATGTTTATAACTACATGCCTACAGCAGGTTTCGAACCCAACCACTCTTCCTTTCGATGCAACCACTCTACCTACTATAATACAATTCGAGTATTAAAAGTACTATTTGATTTATTTAAAGAAAAAGTGTTATCATTGTTATGGTGTTATTCGTTTATCCGGATAATATCTCACTTGCACTTTATACCTTTAATATATGTATGTATGTATAGGTACATACATTGAAGTTGCGCAACCTGGGTATTTTTATTTGATCGCTTATAACTTACGTAGTTTTGCATCGATTTTCTTCGATGATAGCTTATTTTTTTTGTAATACAACAGAGCTTAGGGAGAAAAAAAAAATCTGCAAAAAAATAAAAGGTTTTCGAGATCCTTCCCCGCAAAGTACAATTTTTTTTATATTTTTACAAAAAAAATTGAAAAAATCGGTAATGATTGTTCGTTATCTTTGAATCTACAGGGCCTAGCAAAAAGTGTTGTATGCACAGTTTATAGAAAATTTTATTACCTTTTAAAAGCTTCAAACCGTTTTGGAATTGCTTAATTCGTTCTTGAGATATATATGATAAAGTGGACCCAATTTTTTTTTTTTTTGCAAAAACGGTAAATTGCAAATATCTCAAAAACGGTACCATAGAATTAAAAATAACCTTGATTTTCGGAATCAGGGGGTGATTTTACATAAGAATTTCATAACGGCGTTTCTGGTAAAGAGAAAAAGTTGAAATTTGTGGTCCAGTGTTATCGCTCTTCTTTGCGAAGCTACGCTAGTTATTCGCACTAGAGGTATACGCCGCCGACCAACGCCGCCGCCGCCGCCGCCGCCGATTTTTGTCATTCCTCACGCGCCGCCGCCGAGTTACGAAAATATCGGTGCGGCGGCGGCGGCGTTCGGCGCCTAAGGAATTTTGTACAAAATTTTCATGATGTATGTACATTGAAATACATCGCTTGAAAGAACTAAATACTACTCGTTTAAAAACACAATTTTACGAAATGAAAATTACTTTTTCAAAGGAGTTTTTATTGCATAATTTGGGCCACTGGACAAGAATATGATCTCCTTTATTTTTCGAAAAAGGGCGTAACTCAGAAAAAACATAGGTAACATATTTTTCGATCGAAAGCGATTATTACAGTTAAATTAGGGTCGAATACTGGTAATCTAACTATTTTGTTCCGCAGTAGACAACTCTTTCCAATACTACAACAACATGAAAGTTATAACACATCATAAACTTTAACGCCAATATCTCAGAAAACAGTTTTAACCGAAGCAGCTTCTGTTCATCTAACTCATTCCATCTAAGTCCTCAATTATTAGAGATAAAACAAAGACAAGTTGATTTTCCTGAGTATTTTTTTTTTATTATAAACAGACTTTAAATAAAGAGCAAACACTTTTTTTGCTAATTTTTGCATTCGTAAGTTATTTTATTCTGGGGTTCCACATACGCATACAAGTACTAGGTGGCTGTGTGAAAATTACGTTAGCATTCCTTAATGGTTGTCAAACCCCAGGAAGGTTTTGCTCCTTCGCATCGCAACGTTTTCTACAAAGGGTTAAAGTTCCCCCTTTTTGGTAAAAATTAGTATTATTTTTCATTACATTCGGNTTTATTACCTTTTAAAAGCTTCAAACCGTTTTGGAATTGCTTAATTCGTTCTTGAGATATATATGATAAAGTGGACCCAATTTTTTTTTTTTGCAAAAACGGTAAATTGCAAATATCTCAAAAACGGTACCATAGAATTAAAAATAACCTTGATTTTCGGAATCAGGGGTGATTTTACATAAGAATTTCATAACGGCGTTTCTGGTAAAGAGAAAAAGTTGAAATTTGTGGTCCAGTGTTATCGCTCTTCTTTGCGAAGCTACGCTAGTTATTCGCACTAGAGGTATACGCCGCCGACCAACGCCGCCGCCGCCGCCGCCGCCGATTTTTGTCATTCCTCACGCGCCGCCGCCGAGTTACGAAAATATCGGTGCGGCGGCGGCGGCGTTCGGCGCCTAAGGAATT